TATATCTGGTACTTACAGGGTAATGACTTCTTAAAGAAGCTTAGTAGTAAAACATCTTTATCTTGTTGAGACACTGCCACCATGACAGTCGTGTCTCTGGTGGTCTGACTCTGACACCCGCCCATCCTGAGGGTCTACAGATGGTTTCTTTCTGACCAACATGTTTGAGTCACGTGATTAAAGTGTTAATGGTTGTGAAACTGGTCATCAGAAGTGTTAGATAGGTGATGTTGGAGGCCATGAACCTGGAAGGGGCTGCACGCGTTCAGCTGAAACATTCTCTCAATATTAAAGCAAAGCTCATTAATCACAAATGATCTTGACACATTTCCCACTATTATTCTAACAGGATTTACCGTTCGTGTTCCCCAGGTTTGTAAGCTTGTCGCTTTGCTGTCATGAGCTCCTAAAATGAGGCCATGCCGGGTTGTTTTTTTAAGTTTCTCTGTCTTCGTGCGTGGAAAACAATCCCTTAGATTCCTTTTATAGGCCCAGTTCTGATGCAGGTGAGAAAAAAGGATAAGATGAAGCCCAGCCTGCAGAGCTGCAGAGCATCAGGTAAACAACATCCACAATCATGTCTACTTTAATATTTTAATATGAAAATGGAGCTACRATGCGTTCTGCTGTTTCTGTAACCAAAATGACATAAAAGCCTCCCTCSACCATTTATTCTTTTCTTTGTTCAAGTTCTTTTCATCTGGCAGGTGAAAGTAGGGAAACGGCCGTAATAACACGGGCTTTTATCTCCTCCTCAGAAAGAAAGAGAAGCAGAGGAAACAGTGTCAGAGTAGCAACACTGAGATGACTCGAGGTAATTATCCAACTATGTCATGAGATTTTGGATAAATATGAACGTGCATGTTTAACAGGGTGATAGTGATTTTTAAAATTATTTTAATCTTATGTAGAAAACAAAACACTGCATCTTGATCACAAAATAAAAAAGTGCATTACATTCACAGAAAAAGCAGTTCTACTTTAAAATATCACAGAAAAAAAATCACAAAACAAAATTTATTCACTGATTTCTTTGAAAACAACTCAGAAACAACATAAGATTTGCATCAGGAAGGTTTTTTTTATCAGAATTACAGAGAATGAATCAAAATGTCCACTTAATCTTTCTTCACTCCTGTTATATCTATTAGTTTTAGTTGTTTGGTTTTTATGTTTTTTTTTTAGTTTTGATACTAAAAATGCTACCTTATGATTATAAATACTTCACAGTTCACCTCTAAAC